TTGTAACAATGTATGCACTTCAAACGCTCATAAAAATTTAATTTGATTTTCTTGTAGACATTTTATTTTTTCATAAAAGTAGACAAATGTATGAGGAATCTTGTATTACATTTTCAAATCTTAGATTTAAAAATAAAATTTTTTATGAATTTCTAGCTCAAAATAATTTGTACATTTTCGTAATTTATTCATTTTAACAATATATTAGGAGTCTTATGTTAAATCTTCAAGATTTTTTACCCAACAAATAACATTTTATTGGCATTTATGGGAAAAAAAACTAAAAAAATTGGAAACTGAAAATGTCCGTAAACAGTTCAAAACAAATCAAAATTTTATAGTTTATAGAAAATACTAATATAAACAACCAGTGAAAGTGGTATACATCTACGGATAGAGTTACACCAAAAATCAAAATCGATTTTGTCGAAACCGATTTTGCTTGAAAATTCCCGGTTTTCCCTAATTTTTATTTTGTTTTTCACGGTACTTTTGAAAATTACTGGGAATTTTAAATTTTGATTTCCCCAATGTACCAACAGTGATTTTCGGAAAATTGGTAAGATCGTTGTGAATGTTTAATATTGGTACGTTCGTTGTGAATGTGGATTATTGGTCGTTCAAAACTAAAGTTTCTTAAATTATAAAAAAGAACAATCATAATGCATCTATACATTAGATAAGTACTGCATGAAATCGTAGGGAAGTATTAATCTAATCTAAAATTACAAATGACAATATCGATAACGATGAATAAAGATATTGTATGGGTTTCATGTGACTAGTACACCTGCAACGATCAACTTATTGTCATGTGTCCACAATTTTAAAATTTGTCACAATGGAAAGTTATAATACTGAAATGGAAATGAATTATTGCCATAGGAGAATTATTCGTATGTAATTTTAAGAAAAAATAATAATACGATTAGGTGGAAATGGACACAAAATACAACATTGAAATGTCCGGAAAAAATTACAACGAATTTAATTAAACCTGTAAGTTTTAAATTAGTAATAATTTATATTATTGTATGTATTGTATATAAGGTGAAATAATTAATTTTATTTCAGTATATAAACTATTCAAATATAGTGCCACATAATCACACTTCATATGATAAAATTGACGAAATAATTGTTATTAAACATAACATAAAAAAAGACCCTTAGACACACGAGAAACTCCAAGTCAAATGGTTTCATCCATCAAGCACAATATTTCTGGTTAGATGATTATTTTTAATATTAAATTAATATTAGTATTTTTTAATTTTTTTAAAATATTTTATGGCTGTAGAATATACAGCAACACTTGGAAATTTGTCTTCTATAAAACGTAACATACGAAATTACCGACATAGAAAAATCCCCGATGGCCGATGAACCGTTAAATTCAAATGTTTGTCTTCCCAAAGAGTGGACAACTACGATGAATGCTGAAACTAAGCCATTTTTGACTTTTTGATAATAAACAAGCTGATTTGTGAATTTTGATTTTTGCCTCTAATTTCGCTTTAAATATTTTGTCTTACGCGGAAACTTGGGTTATGGATGGAACTTTCAAGTGCTCAACTGCTATATTCCAACAACTTTATGTTATACGATGAAAGTATAAAAATCAAATCTCTACTTGTGTGTATGGATTTTCACCTAATAAGTTAAAAAGTACTTATATCACTATTTTACAATAAGTTGTTATTAATAGTGATATATATATATATTGATTTATCAAACTTTAAATAATCCAAAACCAATTTGTTGACCAATCAAAACATCTTTACATTTTTTAAATCGAACCACTAGAAGTACTTTAAATTTTGTCAGTCTCTAAGGTCGTTTGAAAAATTAATAGGGTTTTGCAGGGGCTTTAATAACATATTTATTAGGTGAATATATGGATCTTGGAGAAATTCTATGTCAAAGCTTGGAGATATGTTCAAATGGAACATTGTCAATCAAATTTTTTTAACCTTCTGCCAACATTTTGTTCTACTGCCACGATAAGAAAGTTTATTAAACAAATTTCATCTAATTGATAAGTATCATTTAAAAAATTTAAAAAAATAATATGGTGGCACATTTAAATTCCCATAGTTTGAACGATTAGCAGTTTCATATGATTTAAGCTGGGTCATAAGCTACTGTCATGACAGCACTGTCGTATAAATATGCCACAGCGACTGTCACATGAGGATGAGTGATTTCACATTGACAGTAATTGTTGTGGCAGTAATTATTGTGTCTCGTGCTTAGCTGTATTGAATATAAAATAATTAAAATTGACCGTTGTCATTATTACTTGTTTATTATTATAATTTTATTAAAACTTTGTACCTACATCGAAAACTCATGTCCGATGAAGTTGTACGTTCAATGATAAGAGTGATCGGTAAAATTATATTATTAAATCATAAAAACTGTCGAGAAAAAAAATTGGTCAGGAAATGAATTCAAAGGCGGAATTACTTGAGTATTACAAATACATTAATGAAAGAACTTGCAAATTGAGGACCACAAAAGTTTTTATAACTTTTTAAGAATGAATGAAAAAATGTTTATCAGGTATGTATTTAAAATAATAACTAAAAATATTAAGATATAAACTTTATTATAACCTTTATAAGCATAAGCTCCGATTGGAAAAAAAAGCAAATACCTCCTTACTATCTATGTATCTTAAAAAAGTAATATAATTGAACAGATAATTGCTTTAGATAAAAAAAAATATTTTAAAAGCTAAAGCAAAAATTAAAAACAATTATTTTTTTGTATTTTCACCCAGATACTCTATGTCTTAAGTTTCTTAGACAACTACACTCATACAAAATTTAAAACTATTATAATATAAGATAATATTATTATCTCTTAACACCTATTGGGTCAACTGGGGTAAATATACATTTGGGTAAATGTAAACACGTTAGGTACAATCTTGAGTTGTTGAGAAAACACATTCTGATTAAAATAATACATTTATCATTCTTTCATGATTGTTGTCAGAATTATATTTTATTTGATATTAAGTACCTATATATTGTTTATCAAAACATATCTTCAATTATTTTGTATTAGGTTTGAAGAGTGTATTGACGGTAAACATGTGGTGATTCACTGCCCTGCAAATAATGGTTCCCAGTATTTCAACTACAAAGGAACTTTCAGCTTAGTGGCTTTCAGCCTTAGTTGATGGAAATTATAATTTTAGTTGCGTTGACATCAGGAGTTACGGTAGTCAATCTGATGCTGGAATATTTGCTAGGTCTAATTTGATGAAAGCAATTGAAACTAAACAATTAAAAATTCCAGAAAATAGTATGATTGTTGGGGATGATACATTCCCATTAAAAACTTATTTAATGGAGCCATCCAAGAAGATTTCAACAAACGGAAAGCGAAAAACATGTTAAACTATAGGCTTTGTGAGCAAGGCGTGTTGTAAAAACCGCATTCGGAATACTAGACAGCCGTTTTCAAGTGTTCAGAAAACCTATACTCCTTGCCCCACAGACCACCGTGAAATTAATTATAGCTTCCTGTGCCTTACACAATTGTATAAGAAAAATTAACAGTGTTAGTTCAATATCGGGTGATATAGAAGATAACGAAAGTGGATGTATAATTCCTCTTACATGGCGAAATAATTTGGAACCTAAGGTCATAGTACCTTTATGGCCACACAAGAAAGAAATTTCATTAGTAAAGCTCGTCAGAAAAGAGAAAAATTAGCGGATTATTTTATAGCAGAAGGAGCAGTAAATTGGCAGCACAATATGATACATTCAACTATTTACATATTATTTTAATATTTAAGTCATTTTTTTATTCATATTATTATTACCTATTAGGTAATAATAGGTATGCAATTATTAATATTAGTACTCTATGTTGCATTATTATTACCTTACACAGTGACGGAGCTACATATTTTGGGGTCCTGGGCAACATTTTTGGTTCATAATTATTACCATTAATAATTCCTTTACTAAATAGCTTACAAGGAAAGCAATAAACACTGTAACGGGTAGGTTTTTTGAGCCTATTCCTATACAAATATTTATTAAATCACAATGCATGGATTTTGGTAATCATGTTAATCTTTATTGAACACAAATATATTAATTATATAATACAAAAAGATGATAATTAGTAATATAAACTGAATATTCATTTAATTATGACGTATACGTTTTCGTACGTATACGTTAAGAATATAATATAATTCGCGGTTTTACATATAATATTACCATTCACAATCATAAAGTTTTTAAAGTACTCACGTTTTCGCAGATTTAAGTAGTAATTATGTATACCAATAATATGGTTAGGTTAGGTTAGGTTAGGTTAGGTTAGGTTAGGTTAGGTCGTGAGTAGGTAATGCGGCAGTAATCGCGGCAGTAATCGCGAAAGCACTTCCCGCGGCGCCGTTGGTTCAAAACGGAAAAAAAAAAAAAAAAAGGTCGTGAGTAGGTATCACCACGTCGTAACAATTCGGGCGGCAATACACAGATACGAGCAATATCCGGTGTCGTGGTCGCAGTACAGTGCTAATCACAGCAGCGGCGATATAAATACGGCGGCGGTACAATTACGGCGGCGCGGCGGTATAAATACGGCGGTGGTATAAATACGGCGGCGGTAGAATTACTTACGGCGGCGGTAGAGTGATCGGCACGTTCTAACCTACCCACGGAGGGTGGCCGAGAGCGTGGTGCGCGGAAAGGCAAAACAAAAGCGAGTAGATGACGGCGGCGGCAGTTACTCTGCGCGCTCTGACCCGTATATTTGCGCGGCGAATAACTCTAGCAGTCTAGGCCGAATATCTCCTTTGGTTCTAGCCTTCCAAAAGGTGGCCGAGAACCGTGGTTATACTAGCCAGTCACTGCTGGAGCTACACAAGACAATTTGTAGGGTCGGCCGGGCTTCCTTATATATAGTTCGCCGGTCGACAGCGCATGTAGAATCGGTATAGTTTCGCGTGGTCGCCTATGTGTTTGGCATTAGTGCGCAGTCTTCCCTCGGGGAAGTGCGCACTCTATTGACACTGATGAGCGGCTGTTGTACTGTGTCGTGTTTTGGTTAGATAGTAGGTCATGTATATATTTCGTGTTCGTTACAACACAATCATCAATTTTGGAGTAAACTAGCCATTGGCGGTTAATAACTTCATTATTTGGCAATTTACGGTAGTAATAGTTTACAGTGAATCTTCTTCTTTGGTGTTCTCCATTAGATGAAAATGGAAAATCCCAGCTTTTAATTTGTATAGGCCCCCATTTTACAATTTCATATTTCATAGTAAGAGTTAATACCTCAGGCCAGTTGGAAAAATCACTCCAATCATAAACTTGGTCATTTTTACCATTAGATTTTGATAAAACACGGTCCTTTACTTCTTGTTCACTTGATACTGAGCAAACCATGGCAGTTTGTTTACTTATGCTGTAATTGTTATCCGCACTAGTGGTTATGATTTCCACTCCCTGTAGTTCATCATCTTTTTATCTGTTGTCTACATTTATTTGTACCTTAAAAATTTCAAACAAAAAATTAATATGTAATAGCATAACTATCGATAATGAATAATTTATAATTTTTTTTTTTTTTTTTAACAAAATTCTTCATTCTTCAATTAGAACAATAAGCTTAAGTGATAATAGAACAAAACAGACAGAAGAGACTGAAGGGAGAGGCCTTCAACACGAATAAATTTATAAAAATTAATATTTTTTATGAATCAAAATACTTAGAAAAATGAGTTAATACCTCTGGCCAGTTAGAAACATCACTCCAATCATTTTATTTATCTGATACTGAGCAAATCATGTTTCAGTTTGTTTATTAATATTATCCTCTATGGCGGATATGATTTGACTTTCATCATCAGCTCTCTGTAGTTCAACATCTTTTGCTCCATCGTCTACATTTATTTGTCCCTTAAAAATGTATATTAGAATAATTTATGAAATATACTCATGTCATTGAATTATATCAAAAATTATATTTTGGAAAAAGGTTATTACGTTCTAAATTAATTTACTTTAAAAAAAAAAAAAAAAATAGTACTTAAAAGGTACTTACAATATCAGTTGCTTTTATGAATGAAGATTGTACCGACTTGTTGATCAAATTTTCTGTGGTTACTGTATTATTTAATAAATTAATTATTTGCGGGAGCATTTGTATTTTGTCATCGTGTTGTTTTTTTAATTTTCTTTTTAAATATCCACTTGGATATACACATTTGGACATGATTAATATATATGATTATAATTTATAAAATAACGTATAAGGTGTTCCGTGCACCCAACTTACAGAAGGCGGTGACAGGATAGGATGATGGTAGAGCGTCAAAATTACCAACAAATTGTGGTTCGATGTAATATTTATTGTAAATTGTACAAAAATAAGACAAGTTGAATTTAAATACTGTTAGATTATTCAAATTAACGAAGAAATGCTAGTGCCTTAGAAAATAACCGATTGCTCGAATATTCTCCAAGTCCGAAAATACGCCGTTAATGAAAATAATCTAAGTCAAAACGAGAAAATGGTGACTACCAAGAACGAAGGGGTACAGGAGAGCGTACGTACCGTGGCTAAATCACGTCTGTCTGATGGGCCGCTCTCGGGTCTCATTATATAGTCCTATCTCTTCTCCTACTAGATCTCTGGCGGAGTGCGTCGTGGGTTCCCACAGTACAGGGGCCTTCCATGATTAGATGGTCGACTATCTCGTAGTGCAATACTGACTTTATGACTCTGAGCTACAGATGTGCCGCCGGTCGATGCGATGTGTCGGTCTACCGGGCGCGTGTACTCACGGTATAGTTTTATAGCTAATAAAAGTGGTTCAGTGCCAAGACCTAAATCGCAGAATCTACTACCCGCCGAGGAGTTCTTATAACTTTTATTACCGGCTCGGGTTTGTCATCCAGCCATTGGCAAATGCCGAGGCTGTTGTCAACAATTATAGTGTTGCTCTCCCAGGGCCTGTGTGTGCTGCCGACATTATCTCCCTATCCATGTGTTACCGTAGTACAGTGGATACTGTGTAATATAACTATGTGTAGAGGCGAAGTAGAGGGATCAGTACGTAGCAAAGGTATTAAAAATGTAATTTAGTCAGTTAGTTCATATTAGGTACAAACGAAACGAAAACAATTTGCTAGGTAAATGTACTGTGTACACTGTACACACTACACACTACACACTAGTCGACTTGTGTCTTGTACAAGTACAATGTACACATTACAAGCTACATGGCTGTCGACTAGAATTAGGTACCTATATTACAATATAAACAATTAGTAACGAATAACGATAACACTAGTAAACGACCCAGCGGCGGTTATAAGAGGGGTGAAATGTAGATCGC